ACCTTCAAATCTGTCATTCTCTTTTATTGAATAAGATAAAATTGATACTTATTTAATAGGCATTTTAATTGTATTTTTCATGGCTCTTAATTACTTATCATCAGAGTGGGAAAATGTATTCAGAATCTGTATGCTTTTCATCTTCATAATGACCTTTAATCTATCCTTTTTCTTGAAACATTTCTTAATGTAGGTCATATAACTTCTCCGTATGTAGTTCTTCTCATTATTGTGGGATGGAGAAATCTCCGACCTTTCTTGATGCCACCTCATCTTTTAATTTCAGTTGTAGTTCTTTCCTTTTCTGGAGAGAACTTTTTCAAATGGGTCATGCTGCTGGTGTCATATTCTCGTATCTAATAGCCACCTACTTCCACCTCCTATCAAAATTTCTCTAATTCCATTGGTGACTTTTCAGTGGTCATATTCAGTGACTTTTATCCCCCTCATCTCTTGCTTTTTCTGCTGTTTTTGTTAGAAATAACTCTTTCCCTTTGAAATTTTATCCCCCAGTAGACACCTTTAAAAGTAGAGTTCTTACATGCCTAAGTAGTTTCAAGAAAATCCTCTTTGAAAGCAAAGGAAATCCACTAGATGAGTCTGTGGCATTTTTTTGATCCTATTAAATTCAGTGAGAATGTTTGCTTCTAAAAAAGCATTCTTTTTTGTTTAGCTTTTGTAATTGAGATACTAATTTCATTTCATAATTATATTTATTCACTTACCAAAAATGTATTAAATGCCTTTTATATGCAGAGCACTGCTTCTAGGTGCTTAAGATATATAAGTAAAGAAGACAAAGATTCTTGCCCTTGTGGAGTTTCTATTCATGCATTAAAACCTAGCCAATTACTGTATGATTAATAGATATTTGATTTATGTGTGACTTTAAAAATAATTGTATTAGGTATCCATCTTGTTTCTAGGGTAGAGTTCAGCTGGTATCATAACCAGTTGCATATTTTCAAGTTCCTGATAGCTACAGTTAATGTATTAAAGCAATGGCAATGTGTAGTTACATTTTAATCAGAAATATTGAAAGCAATGATTATTTTTATAAATTTCTGTTTTATTTATTTGGATCTTCTCTGGTCATAGATATATACTAGCAGCATCTGGCTTAATATTTATTAGTGCCTCTCAAGTGATAGGGTGCTATATGCGGTATAATTGCTGTACTGTTACTTGGGATAACCAGTACAATAAGGCTGTTAAGCAGTGTTATGAGTGACTCAGTTCTTTTTAAATGTTAGTCTCTAAAGATAAATGGTGCTTCAATTGTTAAGAGAGGAGAAAAGACATTTTCGTTTGCCTGGCCAAACAAGTGGCTAAGGGTCAGCTAGAAACTGAATCAATGGAGTTGGATTATATTATGATAAAGTATTCATTGGGGACTGTTGACTATTAATCTTAAGGAGTATGTGTATGTATGTGTGTATGCATGTGTTGGAAGAGATACTGAAACTTTAAAATATTATAGTTAAATCATTATTATATATCATTATATAAAATATTACAGTTAAATCATTATACAAAACAATCTGGGCCAACCGAATATTTAACCAAGCTGTTTGTTATTTTCATTTTGCCTACAATATTGGAAATATGTTGTAGTAGGTCCAGTGAATGTTAGGATGCTATTGCAGAGGTTTAGGGAGGATAAAGTTGGTTGCAGTTGAGATAGAAGTGCATGAACTTTGTAGAAGTTGAGAAAATAAGATATATTAGACTTGGTGATGGATTAGTAATAGATGATGGGGCAAAAATAACTCCTGGGTTTCCAGTTAGGATGGATTGTGGTAACAGTTTCTGAGGTGGAATACCCTGGAAAATGACCAGGTTTAGGGAGAAGAAACTGAGTTCAGACTTGGGCATACTGATTTTGAGGTACCTTTGAGCTTCTGGAACTTGGGATACATGTTTATAGGTGATAATGCCTACAGACAAGAGAATGAAAGAAAAGCGCAAGAGTAAAGAGAGAGAACTTTAAGCACTTAAGAGGTTAACAGGAGAAGCAATCAACAGTGGAGTTTGTGAAGGTGGATAAAGAGGTAGTGCTTTGTCACTGAAGCCAAGGGAAACAGATTGGTCAACAGTGAAAGGACTGAAAGTATGTCTTGAATCCAGTGGAACATGGAGAGAAGTCATAGATCATTTAAGTGAAAACTTTTCAAGGAGAGATGCAGAAGCCATGTTGAACTGAATTGAGGAAGGAATTGGAGGGTAAGAAATAGAGATAGTGCTTCTATACCAATTCTTGAAATTTGTTGCACAGGGTAAGAGTATGATGGAGAATTATACATGCCATTGAAGAAATGATTTTTTTCAATGTTCTTAGTTTTTAAATTTTGGGACAGGATCTCACTCCGATGCCCTAGCTGGTGCGATCTTAGCTCATTTGGTCTCAACCTCTGAGGCTCAGGTGATTCTCCCACCTCAGCCTCCCAAGTAGCTGGAACTATAGGCACATGCCACCATGTCCAGCTAAGTTTTTTGTGGTTTTTTTTTTTTTTTTTTTGGTAGAGATGGGGTTTCGCCATGTTGCCCAGTCTGGAACTGGTCTGGAACTGGTCTGAACTCCTGGGCTCAAACGATCCTGCCTACTTCAGCCTCCCAAAGTGCTGGGATTATGGATGTGAGCCACTGTGCCCAGCCAAGAAAGGATTCTTTGACATGGAGTTTTAATTAATTAAATTTATTGGAGTTTTAATAGCTGTAGAGACACAGTGATGTCTTGCTGATCTCTATATAACATGTAACATATACTATATTTAACTACTTTGGATTTCCCTTACATGATATTATAAATTATTGGACTCATAATTCAAAGTATTTTGCATTTAATTTTAGAGGGAATGAACTTTGCTTTTTGTACATCATTGCTTTTAATTAACCTAATTTTCTATACTAATACCCTTAACCCATATGTTTTTCCTATTCAAAAGTATAATCAGAGCCAAACATTAAATTACAAAAAGATCCTTTTATAACTAATCCTGGCTCTCTTGTGGCATAATATTCTTTGTCAAATAGTTTATTCAGGTGGAAGTCTTCTGAAGAATAATTAATACTCTTCCTCTACTTGATATATTTTGTGAAACATAATTATCTATAGTGTTTTTCCAAATTAACTGAAATTATGTTTTAATTTAAAGCCATGAGAGAAGTTTAAAGAATTGAAATGACTTTTTGTGTTTAATGATTATGAAAGAATTTAAAATTATTATAAATATTTCAGACAGCATAGGAAAATAAAAGGGCTACTTTCCCTCTTAATTCTATTACATAGATATTTTGGAGTATGTTCTTCCCTATTATTTTTCTAGGCGTGTGTAAAAGCAGGTTTCAAAATAGTGGGTATGTAGGTGTATTTAAACTAACACCTATTTACTAATTTGAAACTTGCTTTTGTCACTTGGCACCATAAATGTTATTTTAAGGTGTTAAATCATATCAGCTCTACCTGTCTCTAGTTTATTTTTGCTTCAAGCCTATCAGTATTATCAGCTTAGTTTCTCTAACCCAACAATACAAAAGCTTAGCTAGAAAAGGCTAAAATAAACCATTAAATCTGATGGTTTACTAACATTATTACTGGGATGAGTTTACTTGAACTTGTTTCAGTTGTGGAAGTTTTAGTTTTTTTCTGAGATAGCCCAATTATGACAGTATGGGAAAAGCAAGGAATATATTTTCAGTGGAAGGTATGCCAATACTGGGGTTTGAGCTAGAGGTGGAACAGTGTGTATAATCTAGTGAAGTAGCTGGGAGGTCACTTTTAGAAAATAGACATGTGGCTTTTATGACTTTTGAGGCTCAAAACTTGAAACCAGAGCCTGGGGTGTTAGATCAAACCAGAGTACATTGTCAAGGTTTGGAGTCCCAGTGGTTGCACCAGAGTCAGCTCTAAGAGATAAAAAGTGAGCAGCAAATAAAAGTAAAGTCTGAGCAAAAAGGCATAGAATATAGTTCCAGATTCAAGCTAGGCACCCAGAAAAAGATGACAGATGAAATTACATTCACAATATTGAGATATGCAATTCAGTTTCTTGGTCAGATGTGCATAGTAGCATATTTACTATGTTGTGATCATTGATTTTAGGAGGAGAGATCTTTGCCTTTGTTCTGACGCCGCACACCTTCGGGATGTGGTAAAGCCTGATAAATATATGTTGCTTCCCCAGCAAGTTGGAGTTGTTGCGTAAGTTCTGGTGATTGTAGGAAAGGGCTAGGTCCTTCCTTTAGTGAGCACTTGCTGTTGTAACAAGTCAGGGAGACAAATTCAGACATGTAAACAATAATGAACTCTTCTTACTAGAAAACCTATCTTAGGTCGTTTTAACTTGGAAGTTCATTGATATCTAAGTTTATCCTGGAACAAAGAATTCCGAGTTAGGTCATCAAGAGACAGGGCTTCCTGGAGGACCTTGAAGTCAGGATGTGGCCGCCACATAAAACTTGACTGTAATATGTATGCCTTATGTCTCCTATACTGTGGAGCCTGTCTTTGGCACTTGGCCCAGCTCAGCTTGGCCTGAGAGAAGTGGGTATAGTCAAGGTGTGATAGGCCTGTGGTCCATTTTCAACATCATTTCCTGAACCCTATTCCCTGCCACACATCATTGTCCAGCTTGCTGTACATTCATTTCAGGGGATTCAGATGGTTCATTTTATGCCTTGGAATGTTGCCTAGCAATATATAACTAAAACATTCATTATTATGAATAAGTCCATAGGATGATTTTTAAAAGTAAATGAGAGGAAGAAAAAGCTTTTCCTGGAGGTAGAATTATCTGGTTCACCAATAAAGAAGATGAGATCAAGAAAAAAAGTTGAAGACATAACTGAGCTTAAGCAGTACTATTGTTTAATGCCCCACCGCAAACAATTTTCTCTTGAGCCAAGCTTACACTTTTATATAAACTAGTATATTTTTCATAGCAACAGCAGTTCAGGAGTTATAAAGGGAGTGTGAATGGATTATTTTCTTGTCTTCTCAGGCACAATAACCTTGGTGCACGACCAAAAGGGCTATCTACTCTGGTGAAGAGTGGTGTCCCCGAAGCATTGAGGGCAGAGGTATGGCAGTTACTGGCAGGCTGCCATGACAACCAGGCAATGCTGGATAGATACCGAATTCTTATCACAAAGGTAGGAAGTTATTTCATATTATTTTCATTGGATGACCTATTAAATAAATCCTAGTTTTCATAGCTCCCGTAAGCCATAAATGCTTTGAACTTCTTCATGAATATATTGAGGTCATGAAGTCAGTACTTCTACCTTTTGTTCTGAATACTTGTGGTGGTAAACAATGCACTTAGTCATCTATGAATACTGTATGCCTTGGTTTTCATCTTTTCATTCAAGTGATTTTATAATAGCTATTTACCAAATTGGAATATATTTATATTTCAAGTGTTTTCTAACTTCTCAACCTTTTTAAATTCTATGAGATTTATATAGTTATAATCATACATAGTTACTCTATTATAGTTTTATAATAACATTAAAATGAAATAAAAAATTCTTCTGTGTTTATGTCACCTAACATTTAAATGATGTAGATACTTGCCCTTTTTCTGTCAGGGGCCTTTGGTTTCACTGTAAATTCCTTTGCTTATGTCTAAATACCTGGTTTTAGAGCATAAGTAAAGGTAAGTGTTGGCCTTGATCCTAGACTCACCACCCTAGGTCTCACCACCTAATTACTTAGTCTACTCTAAATACTGGATTTTTAAATAATAGTAAAATTTTATTTTTTAATTTAAAAGAACCTCTCTTCATAAATGAGATTTTTACAATCAAGACTTTGTTCCTTAGACTATATGAACTTTTAGAACTTTTTATCTGCTGTAATTTCTTTTTACTTTTCTTTCCTCTTTGCCTCCTTTCCTTCCATAAATATTTTCTGAGTGCCTAGTATAATTATCACTGCTGAATTCAGTTTTTTTTTAAACGTTAACCTCTTTTTTTTGTTTTTTTAAGATTGATGGCCTCTACATTGGAATATGCAGGATGATCCATTGGTGTGTGGGAAAAAATGTCCAAAGTTCCATTTGTATATTTTTAAAAATAATTACACCAAAGGATACTAAGCTGTACTAATATTTGGTGTGCCATAGTACTGAGGGTTTATGAGGTCCTTGGATCCAGTGGCCACTGGTCCCACATGGTTCAGGAGTGACCTGAGGGAAGAATGGAACTTGCACACTTTGGAGGAATCATTGTGGGGCTCACACTCGTATATTAACTTCCAAAATATTACAGTTTTCTTGCATTTTGCATGTGTTAGATTAAATGGATTTACAGGTTATCTAGGTGTAACTTAATCCTCATAAAATGTGTGATCGGCTTAAAAAGATTGCTATCACAGGATGCTGCATTTCAAGTTTTTTTTTAATTTAATATGTTCCTTCAGTGAAGAATTCATATTATGATAATGAATGACAAAGCAACTACTTTTGGAAACAAACTCAGGTTACAGAGATGGACATTTTGAAACATATGGCGATTTAAACACCTCTGTGATTTTTTTCATTGAAAAAACATGCATCACTATAAAAACTTTCACATCTTCACACTTAACCTGGAATCAGAAATTTTAAATATGTTTAAAACTTATACAAGCAGTTGCAGAGGATTTGGAACTGATTGTTAAAAGCATATAAACACAACACCTTCTGATTTATTCATATGAGTATCTAGAAGCTGGCGTGGTGGTATATGCCTGGCGTCTCAGCTGTTGAGAGGCTGAAGTGGGAGGACTGCCTGAGGCCAGGAACTTGCACCTGTGACTAGCCACTACACTCTGGCTTGGGCAACATAGCAAGACCCTGTCTCTAAAAAAAAAAAAAAAGAAAGAAAGAAAACCTAGAGAAAGCAGATATTTCCTAGCCAAATTTCAACAAAATGATTGATGAGTGGGACTGAAAAAATGATGTATGTCTACTTGGGTCTGTGGATCTTTGCAAGTCTTTTTTGGACATGATAACAGAACCATGAATCAAAAAACTGATGCAGAAACAAGTTTTCATTGTTGTTTTGTAAACTGCTATAACAAACATATTAAAAATACTGACTCATATTTTATGATTATTTTTATATAAAATGTTTAGAATAGGCAAACCTATAGAGACAGAAAGTGGACTAATAGTTGCCAGGGGTTGGAGGAAAAGGGAATTGGCAGTCACTGCTAACAGATATATGGGGTTTGTTTTTAGATGATGGAAATATTCTGGAATTAGACAGTGGTGACAGTTGCTCAAGATTATGAATATACTAAAAACCACTGAATTGTACACTTCTAAATGGTGAATTTTTTGTTATGTTTAACACAATAGAAAAATTTCACACACAAAAATAATGATCCATATTCAATATTGAATAGTATTTTATAGCATTTTTAATTATCTTTTTTACATCCTATCTAAATTTCTGTGCTTCATAATATCTATATTAGTATAGTAGCACTTGTACATGATAAATATATGTATATTAGATATTTATGCCTAGAAGTTTTTATTGATGGAGTATCTGATTGAAATTTTCAGAGGTCATAACTCTGGGCATCAGAGTACTTTTTCATGTAAATAATAAACTAAATTATATACATTTATTGGCTGCCATGGGGTAAGAGGTAACTGCCATTCCCCTTTTTTTCACTAAGAGGCTCTCATAATTCATACCTTTAAAAATTTCAAGGGAAAAATGTAAAGAATACCATCCCATGATATTATTTATGAATTCTTGATAAACAGTGTATGTTCATATAGTGAGAAAATTTTTATCATTTATACCAAACACCATGGTAGTTTTAATTATACAACTTGCAAAAAAAACCCTTTAAGATCAGGAGATAGGGCTTGGCTCAGTGGCTCATGCCTGTAATTCCAACAGTTTGGAAGGTCGAGGTGGGAGGATGGCTTGAGCCCACGATTTCAAGACCAGCCTAGGCTACATAGTGAGACCCTGTCTCTACAAAATAAATAAATAAATAAATAAAATGCTGGACATTGTTGCACAAACCTGTAGTCCCAGCTGTTTGAGTGGCTGAGATGGGAGGATTGCTTGAGCCCAGGAGATCTAGGCTGCAGTGAGCTGTGATTGTGCCATCAGACTTCAGTTCAGCTGGGGTGACAGAGTGAGACCCAGTCTCAAACCACAAAAAACAGAATGGCAAAAATCATGAATAAAATATATGGAAGGTACTTGGAGGCTGATAAAATATATTTTTTAGATTTTTTTCCCTCTGGAGTTCTAGCTGTGATTTATTTTCTGCCAGTGAAGATTGCAGGGAGGCAAAAGCCATATTTTCTCTGGCAGTGTGGTTGGCAGATACCCGGGCTTCACCAGTTGTGAAGTTTTTGCATCTGTCTCTGGGCATTTCATTCTCAATCACTTGCCTTCGCTCTGGGGTTCCTGTTTCCTGTGGTTTCCTTTCCTGAGTGGCCACAGCAACCTCCTGATTCTCTGGACGATAGCTGTGGTGACACACCTAAAGAGCTGGAAGGGCAAAAGACTGCTACAGCAGGATCTTCAGTCTTTTGCCCTTCAGCTCTTTCAGGAATGAAGGACCTTCATTCCTGCATTACATCATTTTTGAAATAGTTTACCTGATTAAACCCTGTCTGATAGACTTGGCGTATATTTGTCTCCTTGTTGTCACAAGATGGCTTTTCTACATCCAGCATTACATTTAGAAAAGAAGAAAAGAAAAACAAAGTCAACTCAAGGTAGCCAGATTTGAGGCTAAGAGCCCAGTCCTCCAGACTGCCAACTTTGTTCAAGACTTCTGACATCAACCACAATTTGGGGGTTCTTAGTGCCACCCTGACTTCAGACCAACTAGCTTCAAACTTGTAGATCCTCACAGACTTCCTCAGGTTTGATAATTTGCAAGAATAACCTACAGAACTCAGTAAAGTGCTATACTTAACAATTGTAGTTTTGTGGAGTTTTTTTTTTTTCTTTTTTTCTTTTTTTTGCAAAAATATACAAATCTGAACCAGCCAAAGGAAGAGATGTATAGGGCTGAATGTGGGACTAGGAGAATTCCCAATGTGAAGCTTCCATTATTCTTAAGGATATGTTGCCCTCCTGGCATCATCCTCAAGGGCTCAGTACCTGCCTAGCATCAATATGTAGCAATATACACTTGGAGTATTGCCAGTCAGGAAGCTCACCTAGTTTTGGTGTCCAGAGTTTTTATTGGAGTTTTATTACATAGGCATGATTGATTGGATCATCACCTACCTGCTAGAACTCAATCTCTAGGCTCCCCTTCTTTCCTCCCCAGAGGAAAAGAAGATAGGGACACAGCCAAACCATAACATACTGGGGCTGTTGCGTGGCTCAAAGCCCCAATGCTCTAATCACATGGTTGGTCTTTGTGGCTTGGGTAGCCTACATCATGAGTCTTCTTCTTAGTCTAAACTATCTGGGGGCTTACCATGAATCATCTGATTAACATAAACTATCAGATGTGGTTAGAGGGGCCTACCACAAATAACAATCCTGTTATTTAGGAAATTTCAAGGGTTTAGAGGTTACCGTCCACGAGCTGGAAAAAAGACTAGACCTCTCTTTGGCATTTCAGAACCAAGTCTATCACCCTTTTAAAGAATTTTTCTTAAGCACCAAACAACAATCCCATCTGTATATTCTTGACCAGAATTCTGTTACATGGCTACTATCTTCATGGAAAACTAGAAATGTTTTTTTAAAGATAGACACATTGATTCACCCCTCTACCCCCTCCAAATCTAGGCTTTTTGTAAAGAGGAAAGAGAAAATAGGTATTGAGTAGAGAACTATGTTTCTGTTCACCAACTGCCTCTTAATAGTGGTACTAGTTGATACCTATTATGGAATAAATTATTCTAAAAATATATGTAAATTTGGTTTATTTTAGATATTTACACTATATATAGTGTAAATATTTACTAATTACCACTTGAGATTGACTATCAATGTGTAATTCAGGTCGTATAATAAATATTTTCACATTCAGCTTATAAATCTATGACAGCTTAAAGTTTTTAATGTTATTTCTATTGTTAATACAATTCTCAAAAACATTTTCATACAAACATTATAGAAATATGTGACTCTAATCATGTGTGTTTATTCAAATCATAAACAGGGTCAAA